ACCCTGGGCCTGGCTTGCAGGGCCCTGGGGCTCGTCCTGGCCGGCCTGGGATTCAAGACTTGACTGTGTTTCACCCTCCAGATGGCTACAGCGCTGAGGACAAATACAAGATATGGATGAGGCACCGCTACAATGACTGTCTGGATTCCCTGGCGGAGCTGATGGGACATAATGCCTTCCAGGTCAAGGTTAGCTCCTGAGCCTGCTGCTGAGACACGAATTCATGTGGGGGTCCCCTGCGATGCGGAAGCAATTATTGCTCTAATATTTCAATGTGGGGGTGCTGTTAAGGCATTGCTGGTGCTCTGGCTCACCCCTGCTCACCAGCCTGCCAGTAGCAGGCATGCGGCTTTTTCAGTGGAAAACATCTTCGTTCACTCTTCCATCCTTTAGAGGTTGCCTCCTTTGGGTCTGACCCCTGATGCCCATGCTGAGGTGGTTTTTTTTTCTGTTTTTTCTAAAAGGAATTGTCACTCTGCACCCTCATGAAGTTTGTTGAGTTGGAGGCACAATATCCATTGATCAAAGTAGAGTGGAAGGGGAGTTTAACTTTTCCTCGTGAACTTCTTAAGGTAAGTTGTGGAACTGAAAACTTGCTCCTGTCAGTTACCTGATGGCACACACAACCTCATGTGCTCACCTTCTCCACGGCTAAAATTTCAAGCCAGGAGGTTTTCAGCGCGAAGGGAGGGTGGTGGTCTAGAGGGAATGTGAGCTTCTGTCCCTGGTGAGGTGATGCCTGCAGGCATGGGAGCAGCTGCCTTGTACAGGTTCAAGCTGGGTTCCTGAGTATTTCTAAGGTACCAGTTCTGGGGTGGTTTTTTGGAGTCCCTGGTCTCACTTGCAGGGACTGGGAGATGAGAGGGAAGGTACTGCCCCTGGTTCAGCCACCGTGTCATTTCTAAATGACATTGTCTTTGACAGAAGGGGCCCATCTTGGAGGTCAGGAGGGCTTGTCAAAATGGCTTGTGAATGTTGCTTTGGGGCAAGCAGCACGCAGCCATGCTAGCTGCCTTGCAGAGAGACAAGAGGGTGCCCTCAGCCATCACAGCTTGCTGTCTGCTCCAGTACTGTAAGAGACTGACTTGTTGCTTTCCTTTACAAACCTTTTGTTAGGTCGTTGTTGATGGCTTACTTCCCTTACATGAGGATGCTTCACTCCTGATCTCTCGCTTTCAAGAATATATGGAGTATGATGACATTCGGTACTTTGTCATAAAGGCGGTCACTGAGAGTATTGGGCAAGTCATGCAGAAGACAAAAGAGGTAACAAGTTGTTACTGTTGAGGTGGGTCTGGATAAACTGCTCTGAAATGCGTATCTTGTGCCTGAAGCAGGGAGGGACGAGGGACTAATGGTACATGGAAAGACTTTGGAAGCAAGAGAAATTAATGTGCTCACTTGAAGGCATTTTTTTTTTCTTTTTTTTTTTCCCCTTGTTCACAACATATGCCAATTGTGCCAAGACTGTCTTCAGTCTGAAATCAGAAGCGGTTCAAGACACACATTCTGTTATTCTTGCAAAACCTGGACTGAGCTCTAGCTTCAGTATTACCCAAATCTCTGCAGTTTTGGTGGCACACACACAGAACTTTTCATTCTGTTCTCTCTCTGGTGCAGAAGAGTCGTCTCTTTTCTTCAACTGAATCCACCAGTTTTGTTAAACCAGAATTAGTTCAGAGGTAGGTTTTATGTTAGGCAAACAAGTAATACTCCAGGACAAGGAGCAATAGAGAATATATTTGTAGTTCAGCCATTCAGTGCTTGGAAAATAGGGCAACATTGAAGTCCAGCATCTTACCGTCTGTTGTGAAACTTGCTTCATGTTTGGTTGTATGTTTTTTTTTCTCAGAGGCCGCTGCCATTTTACCAGCAGAACGTATTTTCCCTCATTTCGCCCATTAACATGCCGAACAAAGAGTGTGACATGGTCAAATTCATGGTCAAGCAAGGTTAGTAAGCTCCACATGGTTAACTGCGTATGAAGGGGAAAATCAGGTTTAAGATTTCTTCTGTGTAAAGACTCTACTGTTGTTTGCTAATGAAAACCGTGCTCTGTGATCACAGTGATTCTAAACAGTATTCCAAAATCCACGTTCCTCAGTCTGCAGCGGGGTCTGTCATGGCCTTGTGTCAAGACAAACACTTCAACCCAGATTTGTAGGGTATCAAATGACCAAGTAAGAAAGGGTCACCTTAATGTTTTAAACATCCATTTCAAGTTCAACATCTGTTTTCTCTTTCGTCTTAGATAACTGGGAGGAATTGAAAGTGTCAAAGCTGCAGGTAATTGTTCATTTGGTGCTTCAGAGTTGAAATTTTATCTACTTAAAATAGAGCTTTAGCTACACCAGTGTATTTAGCTGACTTCTTGCAATTCTGTTTTAAGGCACACAAGCAGGCGTTTGAAAGAATGTGGCTTGTTTTTTTGAAGCACAAGGTGAGTGTTAACTTCTGCCACTGATCTGCGTTGCTTTCCAGTCGCTAATTGTTAGAGGTTGTGGCTGTATTTGCATGGAGCTCCTGGTAGGACCCCACTGTGCTTTCAGTGTCAGATGCGAACACCCCAGTCGCTGTTTCTGCTGGATCGTTCTGCCAAGAAACATGACCTCATGTATGGTCTGCTTTTTCTCTTTACTCTCAGCTTTTTTTTCCCACCTGAAACAAGTCTGCAGTGTAACAACCTCAGTTCACAAGTTGAAGGTTCCCAAGCCTTTTTGTTGGTGACTTTCACCTCTGAGCTGCGATGACACTTCTAGTTTGAGCACCTGCTTCTTTGAGTGAGCTTAATTGTTAGGTGTCAGTTGTAAACTCTCCCGTTTGGGAACTGTTGCTGCAAGCTGTTCTGTGTTTTCCTGGCACATTCCCTTTTGCTTGTGTGTTGTCTTTTTGAGCCATGGGTTGCTGTTGCTTTCTGAGTTCTCTGTGCAATGATTGTTTCACCGTATTGTTTTGTCCTTCACAGCTACCCACTGGCCTTTACAAAAAAGTTCTTGTCATTCTGCATGACTCCATCCTGCCTTACATGAATGAGCCCACTCTCATGATAGACTTCTTGACAGTGGCCTATGGCATAGGTGAGTGCAAACAGGCTTTTTGTCCTTCATGAGGTTCTGCAGCATGGTATGTATGGATTTGGAAGGGCTGCTGGATGCAACACCACGCCCTGGGTGGTTGAAATAAGTGTACTTTCGGCTGAGATGAAGCTAGGGAACTAGTGTGAACTCTTTTGTCCCTGAAAATGATATGTTTTTACCCGTGTTTGTCAGTGTTGTTGTCCTTGTATGTAAGGAAGATCATATTTAAGGCTTCGGGAAGCGTAGAATACTGGAGTGATTTCTTTTAAATACATTCAGCCAGCAATGCTGGTACCTGGCCTGCATCCGGACACAGGATGTGCAGATTCCTACAGAAATATCTTTTCTGAGGAGACCTTTACCTCCCCAGTGTGGCTTTCTTGGGGGATTAGAGCAGGATGTTTGTGTCAGTTCTTCAGAGCCTGTTTTTCTAAACTACAGCTTAATCTTTGTAAGTAACTTATGAGCCTCTGGATGGCTTTAGGTGAAGTTGTGTTACCTTACAGCCATTCTGCTGGCTCTAATGTCAGGTACTCTTCAGTTTGGTGTTCCTTGTGGGAAGGTATTGTTATAGAAACAAGTTGAAGCTGGAATTTATTTTCTTATTGTGTTGATACCTGCCTGCTTTCTTACAGGTGGAGCAATCAGTCTTCTAGCCTTAAACGGATTATTTATTCTGATTCATGAGCATAATCTGTAAGTGAAAAGAGCATCTTGTTTAAAGGAACATGGGGTTTTGCAATTACATCTTTATAGAAAGGAACAGAAACGGATTCTACACATCTTCAGGCTTTAAAATTCCCTCATGAGAAAGCCAAACTCTGCACAAGAGGCTCAGCTGTTTGGATGCTGAGCTCTTTTGATAGTCTGACCTTTTTTTCAGCTGAGCCTAAATATCCTCTTCTCCAGACTGTGGTTGCTCAGCACTTGAAAATCGATTTCCATTGATCTGATTAGCTAGTGAAGCTGTAGTCTTTGGTATGCCTTTTGCTGAATCCTGTACCATTTGCAGTCCATGGACATAGCTTCACATCCTGAAAATGGCTGGGCGCTGCAAGAGCCGTAAATTCACCTTACAGCTTGTTTTCAAGTGGTGGCTGTGGAGGGAAGCCTAAGAAAGCTAAATACAGCACAGCAGTGGTCTGGGGTGGTCTATAATGAAAGCACAGAAACATTTAGACACAGTGTAGTCCCATTGTACATCACTAATGGATGTTGTCTTTTTTTCTTTTTTTTAACAGGGAATATCCTGACTTTTACAAGAAGCTGTACAGTCTTTTAGACCCTTCTATATACCACGTGAAGTATCGAGCCCGCTTTTTCCATTTGGTTGATCTGTTTTTGTCTTCATCGTAAGTAGCATCTTTATTATGCATGTTCCCATATTTTCCTTCTGCTTTCCTGTTGGCCAGAGACTGTTCTTGAACAGTCCCCCACATGTCTGGATATAATGTATTCAGTGTGCCTACTGGATTAGATTAATTTTCACTGAGAACACTGAATCCAAGAGTGTTATTGTAGTGTTGTGTAATTTTTCATGTGCTATTTTTGAAGATTTGCTACACAGTCATCTAGTTTCAGAAAGTAAAAATGCAGTTAGTTATCTTGAGTTTGATCTGTAAGCGATTATGGATGTATTTCGATCTCTATTCCACTTTGGCTGAAAGTGATGATTTTTCTGTCTGTCTTTATGAATATGGAAAAGTAGCATTTGCAGGCTTTTTATAGATCATAAAGCTGTTCATAAATTGATGACCTTTTGCAGACATATAACATTGAAATATAAAGTGTTTGACAGCCTGTCTTGGTGCTGTCACTTCTTTGTACACAGGGAAGAAACTAGATAAGCAGCTGGCTATATAGTTGCCATCATATGTTATAAAATAAACCAAGAATAACGCTTTGCAGTTCAGCACTATGCACTTAATATCAACCCTCTTGTATTCATAGCGTACTTTGGAGAGAGTAACACGATCTGACAGACGGTGTCCTGTGGAGTGGCTTTGCTGAGCCTTGCAGGTGTAGCAAGCCCTAGGGGCGAAGGCTGAGCGGCTGAGAACTGTCATCTTTCATCCCGGCTCTTCTGACCTGAAGAAAGTGCCTAGATGAGCTGATTGCTATTAGAAATTTGCATTTTTACCATAAAAAAAAGGAACTGTCGTGCACATTTACATTACGGTGGCTTTATGTTCCCATTAACAGCTGCACTGCTTACTTTAGTCTTGGAAGTGCTATGTAAATTTAACACCATAGCCCGTGTATTAATTGAACCCACAAAATGACATTAGTAGAATATAATTAAGGTTGCCTGGCCAAGCACTCAGAAGTTTATAAAATGACTGAATAAAGACTGCCATGTGAACGACCATGTACAAGAACTGTGCTTGGCGACGGTGAGTGCCTGGAGTGGTGCCATGCATCTGGATTGAATCACAGAGTGATTTGAGATTATTCATGCATTGAATGGAAATGCCCCCAGATTTGTTCTGGAGAGTGCGCAAGACCCTGTATTACTGCTTGAAACCAGGATTCTTGTATCTTCTCGTTACTCCATAGCCCAAGAAATCTGAAGAGCCCCACTGATCTTTCACCTGACATGCTGTTTGGATTGGTGAGCCCGCTGGCTCACTTGCTAGGACTTCTACATGCTGTTTTTTTCTGTCTCCTTTCCAACAGTCACTTGCCAGCGTACCTGATGGCAGCATTTATAAAGCGCCTCTCCCGGCTGGCCCTCACTGCTCCTCCCGAGGCTCTACTCATGGTCATTCCCTTCATCTGTAATCTCTTCCGGAGGCACCCCGCATGCAAAGTGCTGGTACACAGACCTAATGGGCCAGAAGGTAAGAGGGGAGGTGGGCACGGGAGTTCTGTGTTATGCCTTTAGGTATCATAAAGAGCAGGATTCCTGTGGAGGAAGAAGGGAGATCCCAGCTTCAGTTCTGAGTTTTAGAAGGATCTCTCTGTCCCGTGAGTTTGTGGAAATCTCCTGCAAGTTCTCTGTGAAGACCCACCTGCATTCCTCCTCTCTGACTTTAGGCCTCATAGTTGACACCCCTGCCCCTGTGATTCCCTGGGAGAAGGCTGCTTTGAGCCTGGCACACTGACCCAAGTGACTTAGAAGTGCTAAGGGCTAGGGGGGCACCTGTACCAGACACGGAGCTTGTCTTGTTCGCCTCAAGAAATGAGAAGAAAATGAATGCAGAAACCAGAGACATCTTCAATTTCAGTCTGCAGTGGTTTTGTGTAGGTGGTCCCACTGGGGCCTCAGCAGTCTCCTGAGTTTTTACTTCATCTCTCTGTGATTTAACAGGTCAGTGTTGAACATCAGTAGGGACCGTTCAAAGTTGCCTGAGATGCCCTTGCATTGGACTATCCCAGTTCTTTGTGCCCTACTTCCTGTGCTCCTTAAAAGTAATATGGTTCTGTAATGCTGCAAACAGTGGCCGTTGGGTCCTGCTGGGATGTGTCAGCTTGTCCCTGAATGTCTTGGGAAGGAGCAGCTCTGGCTGCAGCACTGCTCTGGATCTCTGTGTTCCCTTTGCAGTTATGTACAGCATGCAGAAGGTATTAGCTCTGTATCCTTTGTTTCTTTAGATATGTCGGAAGATCCATATATTATGGAGGAGGAGGAGCCATCTAAAAGCAGGGCTTTGGAGAGCTCTCTCTGGGAGATTCGGGTACGTCAGCTAAAAAGGAACATCTGCGTCTGGTATGGGCTTCTTCCACTCTTGCCGCTTCCTTGATGTATGTTGGCAGTCCCACTTACAAGAACCTGCTGACATACGTCTTGCAAATGAGATGAGTTTCTGGCTGATCGTTTATTTTGCATCCTTTTCTCCCCTAGCATAAGAAGCAAAGGATTCCACATGCTGCAGAAATTGTACATGCTAATTAGTAGGTGACTTGTGAGCACACATCTGACTGTGCAGCTGAAAAGTGTGCAGTTAACAGCTGAAACAGACTAAATGGCTGCAAATGTATGAGGCTTTTTATTTGCTTTGGAGGGGAGAGAGGAACTTGCTGAGCACTGATGGAAATTAATTGGGTACAGATAGGTCATCCTGTAGAAATGGGTTTAAAAATGCTAGAGAAGATTGTAATGTTCACCTTTCACCTGGATCGTTTGTAGGATGGTGTATAAAGGTTGAAATTGGTTAAATTACTCCTTAAGGTTCTAAAACCTTAATGCCAGGGTTATCACTTTCCATTTAAATGCTACAAGGGTTTTGTGTAAGGGGCTGAAGCAGCAAGAAGAATGTTGTGCAGGAGCAGGAAGCCCCCAGAGAGCAGGAGCTCGGGTGCAACATCAGGGCTATGGGGGGTAGCAGAATTGTGTTATGAGTTGTAGGCATGGCCTGTGGAGGAGTCTGCCTGTCTTGAGCTGGATGTTGACCAGGTGAGAGGGGCCTTTGATGTGTTTGAAAGATGGCTGAAATCAGGAGTTCCTGAAGCTCTGTAGTAGCACAGTACAGGAAACTTGCCTCTGCCAGAATTTGATGTTCACTGGAGATCTGACCAAGAAAGGGGCAGATGTGGGAATCCAGATGGATGAGTGTTACCCTGTGCTTATTAGTCCATCTCCTATTTGTCTTGCTTTTGCAGTCTCTACAAAACCATTACCACCCAGATGTGGCCAAGGCAGCTGCTGTCCTGAACCAGTCACTGTCTGAAATGGAGGATGACATATCAGGGCTCCTGGAGCTCTCGGCTTATGAGGTAGTGTTGCTGTGCCTTTGTGAATGATTGGAACCGGAGGAAGGGAGACTGGTTCCTGGGTGCAGCAGCCATGTCCTGTTCATCAACCTTGCTGCTGGGGAGGGAGTTGGGCTGACTTTTGGTTACCCAGAGCCAGGGAAAATGGGCAAATGTCTGTTAAATAACGGAGCATGAGGCAGCAGTGGTGACAGGGATGGCTTTTATGTAACAGGCTTACTACTGGATCTTTTAACAGGTTAGAGTGAGCAGTGATATCAGCCAGGGTGAAGAGCTTGTACTGAGCTTTGCCAGTATTTTCTATTTTTGTCTTTGTAGCTTTTTGATAAAGAAGTAAAGAAGGCGGCTGTTGATGTGCCCCTGGAGTTTGAGCAAGTACGAGGTTTGTTTGGGAAGAAAAATGATATTTTTGCAGAGCACTTCACTTTAGATTGATGTGGTCTCGTGTAAACACATCTGCACAACTGACTGATCTTAGGGACATGCACAAAGCTCATGTTTGTACTTGGCAGTTCTGCCTTTGAGCTGTCTCCACCTGATGAGAGCTGGGCTGCTTGAGAAGGGTGCAGCCTTCTTCAGTGACCGTTGCCGCTATCCGTGGATGGACGTCCCTTTATTGCTCCTTGTTTCTCATGTTTGCATGTTGCCACCTGATATTTTGGAGGGATTTTCCATCAGAGCAAATTTTTCTGGACTTGTTCACTGCTGGGATTCCAGCCCTTTTCTCCAAAGCTGCTGGTGCTGGCTGTGATCAGTGACTGCATCGACAAGCCATCTCGCTGCCATTTGATGGGACTGAGGGGAAGTGCGGTCTCTCACAACTGCTTTTATTTTTCAGATGTGTTATTTTCATACTAGAGCTGATAACCTGTTTGTAGTGGTACATGGCTGTAAACACCTGAGGATATCCTAATTATATTTTTTATATACACTTTTGAACTCGTGTCTTCAGCCTCTATGTACTCGTCTTAACACTCATGTTTGAGGCACTGAAAGCTCAGGTTTGTCAAAAACAACTCCTAGATGAGGCTGTTATTCCATCTATGAAGCGTTGCTGATGTTCCTTCCTGTACATCCATCTCATACCGTAAGGTTGCTTAATTCAAAATGCTCATGAGCTTTGGCAATGTGCATAATCCTGGTGACTGCTGTAGCTAGGGAGGCCAACTGATGTGCAGTGGGAGGTGTGTCTAATCCTTGATTTTTGTTTCAGAATGATAAGCAGCTTAATGTAGCTTTGCTTGCAGCCCGCAAGCATTGTTGGAGCTCTGGCCAGTGTGTATCCAGGTGCTAATCAAGTTTTAACCAGTCCACTGATATCAGCTGCTTTTGTTAATTTTTTTTTTTTATTCATATCATTCCAAAAGTCTTGCAGAAATTCTGTTAAGTTCCCCCTCCCCCAAGGTTTTAGGTTGGAGATCAACTCCTTCTTAAGAACACAGATAAATTCACTCAGGATTTTTTTTTCGTAATAATTTTCAACAACTTATTGTTTCATTAGACTTTAACTCTGTTTACATATTTTGAAGTCATATTTTGTGGAGGAGAAAAATACAGTCAAGAAAGGAGGCCACGAAATCTCATTTCTGGCAGATGAATCTGTTTAAGCCAAGGAAAACTGCATCTGTCTTGGAGAGACAAAGTGCTATGTTTTCTTTATCCCGTTTTCTTCATGCTTTCCAAACAGCGGACATGGCCTCACAGCATAGAGCTCTACCTCTCTTTTTTTTTTTTTTGTTGGGGGTTCTTTTTGTTTTGTTTTGTTTTTTTTCCCCTGATGCTTTTGAATTCAGGTGGGGTGTTTCTCAGGATGCAATTTTTTTTTCTTTTAACAAAACCAAGTCTCTCTCTGTTGTTCTCTGGTGAAAAAGCAATCCTGTCTCCTCCCTGGCCAGCCTGCTTTTCTTTTTTCTTTGACTTCTGGTGCCTGAGGTGGCAAGGCAGAATGGCTGAGATGGCAACGTACAGCTTGAGAGACCTCAGCTCAGGTTCACCCAAGCCTTGTATTTCAGCTCTAAGATGTATTTCCCTGTATCATATGTACATTGTATGTGTGTGTTTGGTAAACACATTGAAGTGCTCTGACGCTATAGCAATGAGGACCACATAGCTGCCTTTGAAAGAAGTGTGTAAGTGTATCATCTTGCAGATTAAATGAATGAAAATAGCAAATACTGGAATGAACAGATGGATATATATATATATATATTGAATACCTTTCTCTGCATCTTTTTGTTTTACTCAGGTTGGCCCAGTTATATCTGTCTGAAATTACGGGCAATGTCATTCATATCTTGTAATATTGACACTCTGGGAGCGTTAGGATTCTTTCTTTAATGCACAACGATTAAACCATTTGGGCGTGGGGCAAGTCCAGGTCTCGTGGTGTTGAAAATGAGGGATTTTGGTTGGGTTCTTGTATCTGGACAGAGAGTAAGCCAAGCCTTTCTGTCAGCAGGGCGCCTGAAGGGCTGCTTAAGCCTCTGTCCTCCTGGGGCCTCCTGGCACCAAAGGAGGAACAGCCCAAGCGTGGGCAGGTAGAGCTGGGGGCGAGCAGTGGGAAGCAGCAGCTTCTGCCTTCGATAGGGGCTACACTTGGAAAAGGGATGCTACTGGAAGTGGGGGGGTTTGCTTTTTCCTGGGAGGAAGAGTGCAAAGGCACCAGCATCTTCAGTGTCTCACCAGCTGTGGATCCTAAGTACTGTACTGCAATTAACGGCGACTTGATCAGAGCAAGATGCAATTTATTTTCCCCGGTGCATTCCCGGTGCCCCATGTGCTGACGGCTGCAGCTCCTGCTGACGTTGAAACCGAGGCTGAGGCTGACCCAGTGTTTTCAGATCTCTCGGCATTTCAGTGCTGAGCTGGAAATGCTGTTAGCACTTTACCTAAAGTATGTGCAGCTGACCCGGTGTGACTGAGTTATTTTGTGGCAGGCTCAGGCACAGCCCCACTGTGCTTGGTGCAGGTGAGGCAACCTGCAGACAGCTCAGAGGAGCTTACAGCTTAAAGCCTGGGTGCACTTTGGACAAGCCTTGAAGGTCTTCCAGAGACTTCATCCCCCATCTCTGATGCTGCACTTGCCTAAGCAGCGTTCTTAAGCCAGCTCTTAGGTGGAGATAGCTTTAAGCCCCTGCCTGTCCTTGGAAAAACATTCCACCTGGTCTTTCATCAAGCTTTTATCTTTAAACTTTCACCCCCCCTTCCCTCAGTAGGAGGCATCAGGAAAAAAAATCAGCAGTTATAAATATTAAAAGTTTCATCTGCACTGAGTGAACAACCCTTATCAGGCTGCACACCCGCTGCTGCTACTGCTCTACAGGTCTCCACAGACCACAGATTATAGATGCTTTAATCATAGGGTGTATTAACTGGAAGGCCAGATTGAAGTACCAGGCAGAGAGCGCGTAAGTCACTCCTGTTATTATTTGATTTTTATCAGGTGTGGGGAGGAGGGAGGGGGCTGTTCTGGGGTTTTTTGTTCTTCTTGTTGGGTTACTTCAGCAAGCAAAAAAGATAGTTTTATGAAAACATTGGCATAGTCCCCTGCCCTCCCTACCCATCACTGCCTCACTCCCCCACCAGAGGACAGGGATAAGGTCTCCCTGTGTGGCAGTGGACTGCCTTTGGTTTATTTTCCTGAGCGTTCATTCACTTAAAGGCCATTCAAAGTCATCCTCACCTGAAGGTAAAAAATAGAGCCGCTCATCAAGAGCTCGATGAGACTTGTCTTGCAAGGCGCAGGGCCAGGTGACCATGGTGTTTGTGTTAATCAGCTTAGAATTTTAAGATATTCACTGGGGGATAGAGGGACGTGTACATTTACATCTGTAAATAGATGGAGAAGTGCAAATGCCAGCCAGAGACCTGGGGCAGGCTTGCCCGAAGCAGAGGGATCTCTGCTCTGGGGCAGAGTCAGTGCCTGTCCTCTTCCAGCACGGCAGGGCGTAAGTATGCTTGGCTGCAGGCTGGCAGCGGTCCTCCAAGAAATTAGGCTTTTTTGCGTAAAATAACTCACTTTTCACACCGTATGTTCAGGTATCTCAAGTGGGTATTGGGAGCTGCCTAGCCAGCATCCCCTGCCTGTCGTCTTACCCGCCAGGGAGCCCCCCTCTGCTCCTCTGAATTGCACGTAAGCTCCTCTCGGCCACCAGGAGCTGGGCACGAGTGAGTTGATAAATCCAAAACTCCAAAGGGACCAGATCCACAAGCTCCCAAGTGCTTAAACAAACAGGTAAGAAATGCCTAGCCCCGCTGACCGGCTGCTGTTAGCATTAAGGTGGTTTCCCAGCCCTGAGACAGTGAAAGCTGCCGTGCAGCCATAACCCCTGTGTTTTCCGCTACCTAGTTTTGAAAAACAAATGAGCTCTGTGGTAATTTACAGCCCTGCTCAGGCAGCGAGGGCTGCAGGATCTCAGTTCGACTGACACCAGCCCTCTCCAGCACTATCATAATCAATATTCATTAACTGAAGTCTGTTGGACTTGGAGATTTACTGCTGTTAATAAACCAGGAGTCTATCTTAGTGTAGTGTATGAAGGAAATTTTAGGTCTGTTAATATAAAGAATTGCTTTTCTGCAGTTTCTTAGCCCTGTCCCTGGGCCACGCTTGCATCTCTAAAAAGAGAGAACTGGAGCATGTGGGTAGAGCTAAAAGAGAGAAAAGCAGAGGGAAGTGTCTCTTCGGAGCTGGTGGAAGGCTCCTGCAGCTGGGTTAGTGTATGGCCATGTCCTGGTTTCGGCTGGGATAGAGTTAATTTTCTTCACAGTAGCTAGCATAGTGCTGTGTTTTGGATTTAGTACCAGAATAATGTTGATAACACACTGATGTTTTCAGCTGTTGCCAAGTAGTGCTCAGACTACTCAAGGACTTTTTGAGCTTCTCCTGCTCGCCCAGGTGCATAACAAGCTTGGAGGGAGCACAGCTAGCACAGCTAACCCAAACTGACCAAAGGGCTATTCCATACCATATAACGTCATGCTCGGGGGGGGTTAGTT